TTGTTGTTGTTGTTGTTGTTGTTGTTGTTGTTTGACTGCGCAGGCACTCCTTGCTGGTGTTGCTCGTAGAAGGACATGAAGGAGAAAAATTTCTCCATCATGTTTGAATCGAAGCCTGCTGGTGTTTCCGTGGACCCAGCTGCTGGTCTTGCGGTAGTGCCTTCCTCTGTCTGTAGGCCAGAGGTAGGAGGTGGAGTAGGAGTAGTGCCTCGGGAGCCGTTGGAGGAGCTCCTCTCCTTCCTTGCAGACATGTCTTCTTTCTTTGTATTCAAGTATTGAGAGAGAAAATGATCTTAAACTCTAACTGCTCTCATACCATGTTGGGCTGAGAAGCCCTAGGATCTTTGTAGAGTTTAAGGACTGAGTAGGATTGTAATAGCGGAAGCGTTGAATAAAAGTGTGGTTGAACCACCTTGCACTAGTATGTGAGAGCAAAGTAAGTTGATTAAACAAGCAAATACAAAGGTTTATATAAGAGTACAAGGAATACGAATATATTTAAACCGTTTTACTGTTGCGATTTGATACAGTGCGACTCGGGCAACTGCTCAATGTCGAGTCAGTTGTGTGTCCTTGCTGTCGCGCTGTAATTGTCGAGTCAAAGGTCGCTGACCTTTGACTTTCCCGTAACCTCTAGGCGGTTACCCTAACCCCCGAGGGTTGACTCGCGATGCTTCGATTTGGGCTGCTTCGCTAGTGTCCTGAGTTTCGACACGACAGAGGCGCCTTAAGACTTATTTGTTCCCAACAGGCGCTAGGCACGCAATGCACCCCAATTTCTCGTGTTACCGTTACCACGCTCGCTTCGCTATATAGTCTTCGCTCATTCCTTCGCTCAATGGAGTTTTTGCTTCGATAGTGCAATTCTCGCTCGCTCACTCAATTGCTCTCGTAACAAAAGCCGACTTGGCCGTTGAGATTTGAGAATTAGTTCAGAGAACTACTGTGGTTGATTCTATAAATAGCCACCCGCCAAAGTGGTGTAGCTGTAATGGAAACCCGTGTACACCAATGGAGGAAGAGAGGAAGTGGCATCATTGTTTCCTCTCATTGGTGTAGCGTTCTTGACTAAACCAATCCTCCAATCACACGCTGCGACGTACATGTGGTGGTCGGTGCTGTTACACGACCCCGAACCCAGCTCCTTTCGTCCTTTCAACTTTCGCAAAACCGGCGATTCCCCAAGTTTTTTCGTCGGAACTTGCTGCTGTCACAAACCCTCTGGATGTGTTTTGGCGCCCTGCCAGATTCAAGTTTAATCCAAGGCTACCCTGTCAAACCCTAGTGTTTGAAGTAAATGAGCAGGGTCGGTGTCCTTGAGGCTCGAACTTCGCTGTATTTCGTAAATGCTCGGGCTGCGTGAAGGGTATTCCGTACAATAACCCCCTGTCCTGGTTTTGGGAAGCAATTCTTCAGATTCCTCTGAAATAGGGGTAGCCATGGTAAACCATCCTGTTATGTCATCCCGAGCCACAGTCACTGTATCGTCACTCCCAAAGCTCTCTCGTCTCCCTCTGCACCCATATCGGCCACCGCCTTGCCTCCCACACTATTGTTCCTCAACAAAACGATTGCTGGAAGGTCACTGTTTGGGAGGCGATTGTTGCATAACTTTCGTTGCAAGGCAAGATAACTTCGTATTCCAGCCTTCTGCAATGCGCTCGTGCCGCTCCTCGCGGCATTGCCTTGACTTAATGCTAGCCTCATTGCTCCTCGCATCTTTAAGAACTTGGCGATAGCCGCTTCCGTTCTCTCAGCGCACGCCGGCTGTTTTCACTGCCGTCGCTGATCATTCGCTCTTGCGTGCTAGGTCAACTTTCCGCTTGTTGGCCCTGGCCATCCGTCAATGCCTTTCGCCGTACGCTAGAGCATGCAATCTCGAAGTCGCGTAATGCTCATCGCCGATGTACGTCGTATGCGCGATCGCCGTAACTGAACAGCTCCACCTTTCTTCCGCATTGAACTCATCGCTATCCACCCGGCACAACCCCATAATCTCGCATCACTGACGTGGATAGCAGAAAAACGAAGGGTATAGGCGCGGTCGATAGCGTTCGAGGGCATCGGCTCCACATTGTCGTCGATAGCATTCGCGAGCAGGATTGGCATTCGAACTTGTACTACGGTACCGAGCAGCGCATTCTCGGCAAACCTGGAGCTCGATGAAGCGCGGCTGCGGGTAGCCGCCAGTCGCGATCGGTAGAGGCGAACGTCGATTATTAAAGTCGTGATCGGAAGAGTTTCCGCCTCTGCGAGCAGCCGTTCCGCGCTCAGCCATGGTGAGTGCAGAGCATCCCATGGTGTTGCAATGGTGTTCAATGATTGTGTGTCGGGCATCCAATGGTGTTCTGTGGGGTACCCATCGGTGAAATGTGAACATCAAGTGGTGAACGGTGTAGCATCACAAGACGACGAGGCGCGGCCGGGTGAACATACAACGTGCCGTCTGCGGCGATCTGTCCGTGACCGTCGATTTTGTGAAATCAACAGCCTTGAAATTCGAAGCGGCGGGTAGCGGCGCGCTCGCGCCCGCGACGAACGTCTGCCGGCCGACGTTGGAGTCGTTTTTGAGAATTCTCAAACGTGTTTCCCAAATGGCCGACGTGCTCCTCTTCCTGCTTTTGCCGTTGCTGCTTCGCCGCGCCAACAACAACAGCCGCGCGCAACCCTGGCGCGCAAGAAAACCCAAGAAACGTGTGACGCAGCTCGTGCGTGGCGCGTGGGACGTCTCTCATTGTCGCGCGCCGTGTCACATCGATACTTCCCCCTCTGCCACCTTCCCCGACCCAACTCCGAGCGGAGAGGGGAGGGCGGAGAGCACGTTTCTCGCTTTCCGCCCTCTTCTTCCCCCTGCCTAGCGGATGGAAGTGCGATCCAGCGCCATGTATTGTCTGTATCGTTGCCCGCTGTCCGGATTCCTCATCCATCCTCCTTTCTCTACCCCTCTTTTCCCTTGCGCAACCCCCCTTTTCCCTTGCGCTACCCCCGTTTTCCCTTGCGCTACCCCCGTTTTCCCTTGCGCTACCCCCGTTTTCCCTTGCGCTACCCCCCGTTTTCCCTTGCGCTACCCCCGTTTTCCTTGCGCTACCCCCTTTTCCCCTTGCGCTAACCCCGTTTTCCCTTGCGCTACCCCCTTTTTCCCTTGCGCTACCCCCGTTTTCCCTTGCACTACCCCTTTTCTTATCAAGTTGCACGAACCCCATTTTCCTTTGCACTACCTCCCGTTTCCCTTGCGCTACCCCCGTTTTCCCTTGCGTTACACCCAGTTTTCCTTGCCCTACCCCCTTCTCCGTTGCCCTACCCCCTTCTCCCTTGCCCTACCCCCTTCTCCCTTGCGCTACCCCCTTCTCCCTTGCCCTACCCCCTTCTCCCTTGCCCTACCCCCTTCTCCCTTGCCCTACCCCCTTCTCCCTTGCGCTACCCCCTTCTCCCTTGCGCTACCCCCTTCTCCCTTGCCCTACCCCCTTCTCCCTTGCGCTACCCCCTTCTCCCTTGCGCTACCCCCTTCTCCCTTGCGCTACCCCCTTCTCCCTTGCGCTACCCCCTTCTCCCTTGCGCTACCCCCTTCTCCCTTGCCCTACCCCCTTCTCCCTTGCCCTACTCCCTTCTCCCTTGCGCTACCCCCTTCTCCCTTGCGCTACCCCCTTCTCCCTTGCGCTACCCGCTTTTGAATGCGTGCCCCCATGCTTCCCCTGCCCAATTCGCTGTCCCGCGCATGACCCACCTTCTCCCCGCGCGGACCACCGCCGCCATCGCGATTCCCGCCTTCCTTCCCCCAACTTTCCAATCCAGATTCGCCCCATCCCTTGTCCCTTTGTTTCTTCCCCCGTCTGTCCCATCCTCGTGTAGGCCTCGCAGCAAAACGTGTCCACAGTGGGGCGGAAGTACAAGTCGAAGGTGTGCCTGCCCGATGCAGTGCGCCCATCCAATTTGGCCCCTCCTTTTGTCTTGCTCTTTCCTTTCGTCCTGCCGTCCCGCCGTTTTCTCCCCCATCCCCCCTCCCCCTTCATCCTGCAGGCCTCCCAGACGTGTGGGGTTCGTTTTAAGGTGTGGGCGCCCCGCGCAGTGCGCCAATGCAGTTCGCCCCCTCCCCTTGTCTGTTTCCATCCGGTTCTGCCTGACCTCCCCCGGTTCTGCCTGACCTTCCCCGCTTCTGCCTGTCCCCGGTGCGTGCAGGGTTCACAGCAGCACCTATCCACGGTGGGCTTCAAGGTGTGGGTGGCCGATGCCTAAACTCCTGTTGCCCAGTGCCCCGCCCGTTGCCCATTCGTTTCCTGCCCCCCTCCCCTGCCCTATCTCTCCCCGTCCTCCAGGGTTCACAGCAGCACCTGTTCACGGTGGGGTCGAAGGTGTGGGTGCCGGATGCCGCGGATGCGTGGGAGGAGGGCGAGGTGGTGGCGAGGGACCGCGGGAGCTCCCAGCTCACTGTGGCGCTCGGCACAGGCGGCAAGGGCCAGGCGAGTACGACACAAGGCATAGGAGGGGCCGGGGAACAGGGGAATGTGGGGGGGAGGGGAGGGGGAGCAGTAGCTGTACGGAACGGAGGGGGCCACAGCTCACTGTGGTGCTGGGTGGACGCTTCAAGGGCCAGGCAGGTAGGAGATGAGTCACCACGAGGGGGGTTTTGGGACAGTAGCTGTGTGGAAGGGGGAAAGGGGCAAGGATCAAAATTACGGCTATCGTATTATACGGTCCGTATAATACGGTCGTTTTTTACGGCAAGAAATTCAAAAATACGCCGTATTTTTGATAGACTGTTTTTCTGGTTTTTTTTTTTTTTTTTTTTTTTTTTCTTTCTTTCTTTTCCTTTTTCCCGTAGCAATGCTCTGAAAGGTACACACTACATTAGCCTAGCATAACAACAGAACAGATGGTTACAACACTACTCGACCATTCCCACTACTACCGTACCGTCCACTACTCTTTACTTTACACCTCCTACCCTATCCTATCCTTCCCTATCTCTCTCTCCTCCTCCAACCTGTAACCTTCTCTCTTCTCTACTCATCCTCCTCCTCCTCCTCCTCCTCCTCCTCCTCCTCCTCCTCCTCCTCCTCCTCCTCCTCCTCCTCCTCCTCCTCCTCCATCCTCATCCGCCTCCTCCTCTTCCTCCCCACTAGACCCGTCACTAATGTCCCAAGGATCCGCGCCATTTCGAGCCTTGGTAGGCACGTTCTCCTCCTCCCCTCCACTGCTATCCGCCGCCTCCTCCTCCTCACCCTCTTCCTCTCGCACAGATGTTGCCTTCCTCTTTCCCTTGGTAGGCTTCTTGGCCTTCCCGTTTCTCTTCTTTTTAGCGGTCTTTGGCCCCTTCTTCTTCCGCTTCCCAATGTTCCCGAATAGGTCCCAATCAATGGTGCATAGCTGCTCATTCCCCTCTCCCTCCTCCTCGTCGTCCCCCACTTCCTCTTCCTCTGCTGCTGCCGGTTCCACGGCACTCCCTTGCTGGAGGGTGCCGTTGGCCAGATCGGCATAAAGCTTCTCCCTCTGCCGTGATTTCCTATCGAAAGCATCCCTGGCCCTCCTGGCGAACGCCACCTCAGTCACGTCCATCATCTTGTTGGCACTGAGGCGGTTACGGTCCCGCCTCTGCACCCGTGCAATGGCGGACCAGTAGCGTTCGACCTCAGAAGACGTGACTGGCTGTGACAGCACCGTCACAGCCATCCCCATGAGCGCTCGCAATTCCCCCCCATACATCAGCCACCACTCTGCCTCCGTCAAGCGCCCACTCGCCACCAACACCGTTGCTGCCCAACGGGCATCATCGGACCCTATCAGCCCCTCTCCTTTATGAAACTGCGCCAACAGTAGCGCGCGTTGTGCGACGTCTCCCCCACGGGCCTGGATCACCGCTTCCGCCCCAAGCCTTACCTCGGGATCGTTCTTCACCTCTTTGCCGTACTGATTGTGCGGGTTCAGAAGCCACCCCATAGCATGGAGTGGATTGTGGAGCTGGGCGTCCCACCTCCTTGCTATGATAGCCTTGATGGCGGCCAGAAAGGCCGGCTTGTCTTTGGCCGGCAAGAGAGCGGTGCGTTTCATCATCATTTTGGCTGCCCATGGGGAGAACCGGAGAGCATGAGGTGAGCACAATTGGCGGGAAGGGTATACAATAGCCAGAACGTGCGGCAATTCACAGCTTACCTGCCGCCTCTGCCGCATTGTTTGTCTTCACCGTGGCATCTAGCATGAGGCCATAGATCCGGCCCATGACTAGAGCACGGGTGTCAACCACCCGCAGCACTTCATACACGGGTGTCATGAGGCGGAGGACCGCTGTCGCGCACTCCCAAAAGACCTCATCCAAGAGGAGCTGGCGGACAGCTCGCCCCTCCTCAGACCGCGCCACCGCCACCGACTCCCACTCCTCACTGATGATCATCTCCTTGAGCGCTTTCTTTACCTCCAGGAAGCGGGCAAGCATGATAACCTGCGTGCCGAAGCGTGTTGCACCGGGCCGCACCAAGGACAAAGTGCTAAACAACTCGTGGAAGAGCGTGACGGCAGACGCGCTTCCCTTGACGATCATAACCACCCTGTGCACCTGGTTGAGCACTCGCCGCACAACACGGACCCTCCCGATGTCGTGGAGCATCAGGTCCAGGACGTGCGCCGCACAGTTGTTGAAAAACACTGCAGGAAAACCGTCCCGGAGGATGTCGGCCGCCCTAACGGATGTTGGACGCATTGTCCATGACCACCTGCACCACCTTCTTGTCTCCAACCTCGGCGATTGAGGTCTGGATGAGGCCGGCCAAGTACTCCCCCGTCTTCTTCGTGGTCTTGGAGTCCACGGTCTTCACGATGACAGGCGCGGTGTCATTGTGGGCTATGACACACACGAGCCCACGGCTCTTCATGCAGGTCCAGCCGTCCACGGAGATGGTGCAGCCGCTAGTGTTCCAACTCTCCTTCAGGGGCCTTACAAGGTCCTCGGTATGCGCTACCAGTTTTTGAAGCAAAACACCAGAAACCCTGAAGGGGGGATGGGAGGGTGTATTGATTCCCGAAGGCAACAGCCGCATCCACGAAGTTCAGCACGGCTGGCGACTTGGACGTGTGGAACGCCCAATCGTTATCAGCCACTGCAGTGGCCCATAGGTAGTCCAGTCGAGCGCGTGCAGAGTCATCCACCATGTCGCGGATGTCCCGCTGTCGAGTGCGACTAGAGGGCTGGATGGCTAGGGTTGAAGTGGAGCCAAGGATTGACGGAGTGGTGCTTCCAGAAAGCTCATTAGCAGCTGCTTCCTCGCGAAGTTTGATGGCGACTTCATGGGTGCACGGTGTCACATTCTTATCTTTGTCCTTCGGCGTCCCATAGATGTGCTCTCCTATGCGTGTAGCATTAGCAGTCACGGATTCGGAGCAGTGTACGCATTTCGCCGTCAAGGTGCCGTCTGGTCACTTAGTCGTTGTAACGTGCTTCCACAGCGGCGATTTCTGCCTCGCCATGGCGTACGTCCTGACTGGCACGAACCCGAGTGGAGCACCCTGAAGACTAGACTAGAGCAGAGCTAGGCTCAGAATATGATTAGGAGTGGCTAAACCGAGCTCCTAAGTACCTCGTTGTGGAAGCTGGGTGTGTTGTGTCGAGTGGGTTTTTGAAAAGGTTGAGCTCACGGGATGTATTCTGATTGGTTAGATTGGTTTCGCATCGCGACTTTGGATGTGTCGCAACTGCGAGCGAACCAAACCTCCGCAGTACGAAAATGTTTAACGGAAATCACGAAACGTGGGGTCGAAGGGGTACCATTCGCCACATGTTAAAATGTCGCGCCTCGGGAAATTGTACACGTTCCGCTTTGGCGACTCATGCCAACGAGTTGGCGAAACACGTAAACTCGAAATTGGCCTCGCCAAATGCCCAAATGTCGCGACGCAAAAGAGTCGTGACATTCGCGACGCAGGAAAAAAACAAATTCGTGTGTACGGTTGTGAGAGAAAATCACGGTTGGGAGAAACGTGCGTGTGACACTATGATTCCTGATATACACAGACCCGGTTTCAAATTTTCGGTCGAATTATACGGTCGTATTTTTTAACCAAACACAAAAAACCTCAATCCACCGTATTAAACCGTATTATACGGTTGTATTATACGATTCCGTATTATACGGTGAAAATTCAATAATACGGTCGTAATTTTGAACCTTGGAAAGGGGACAGGTAGGTGAATCACCGTGCGGCTGGGCGGATGCGGCAAGTGACAGTGGGGTAGGAGATGGGGGAGCAGGGGAGGTGGCAGGTCAGGCCAGGCCAAGGCCAGGGGAGGGCAATGTGGAATCACATAGAGGGATTCAGTGAGGAGGGGAGGGTAGCAGAAGCAGTGTGGAGGAAGGGCGGGGAGTGAGTTGCTGACCACCGTGGGGCTGGACAGAGGCGGCAAGGGTCAAGCCGGGTTTGAAACGGGGAGCGGGAAGGTGGCTGGCAGGGGGGCGGGGAACATGTGAGTTGCAGAAAGGGATGTGACTCAGTCAGCGGGGGGGGGGGGGCAGGTGACTGGCAGTGAGGCTGGGAGGGGCAGGAGGGGAGTGGTGAAGACCCTTCAACTCCGTCCCCTCCTCTCTATAAAATAACACCTCTGTCTTCAATATAGTGTTTACCCCATGCCTTTATCCCATCCCATACGTCATTCGTGCCCCACCGTATACCATCTCCATTCATGAAAGGGCTGGAGGAGAGTAGCTTTAGCGTCTCTGAGGTGGAGGTCACCCGTGAGTCTCTCTGTACACCCCCTCTCCTCCCTCACATCCCATCCTCTTCCCCCCCTCCTCTTTCCCCTCCCCC